TTAAATAAATATGTAATAATTTCTGATAGATTAATGTTTTAATTAATTTTTCCTAAAACTTTTAATAACTATTTAGTTGAATAACAATAATGGACTATTATTTAAATAGTTTTGGAGAATATTTATTTTCGTAGATTATTTTTCTAATTTTTTAAATATTATTTATTTACAAAATTGTGGATTATTAGTTAAATATAAAATTATTATTAATTCATTTTTAATTTTGTAAATAATAAAAATATTATTAATTCAAAAGTTATTATTAACTATTTAAAAGTTAATTCAAAAGTTATTATTAACTTTAATTTTAATAAAGTTATTATTAACTATTTAAAATCTAGTTATGTTAAATAATTCATTATTTAAATATTTAAATTATATGTAAAATATTTAATATTTTTATTTAAATTTTATTATGTTATTTTAAATGTTTTGTTACATAATTATTTATCTATTTTTAATATTTTATTATTTAAATATTTTTTTATCTATGCTTTTAAAATATTATTTAGTTATAAAATTGAATAACCCATAAAATTATTATTTATATTGTTATTACATAATTTCATTATAAATTTCATAAAAATATAAAATTATTAATAATATGAATATTACTAAACCTATTATAATTATTTTTTGTGTTTTTTATAAATATTTTAAAGTTATTACATAATTTCATTATAATATTTAAATAATTGTTAAATGTTTTAGTTGAAACTTTTTTTAAATAGATATAGATGAAAAGTGAGGGAGAGGATAAATATGAATTATTGATAATTTATGAGATAAATAGGAATTAGGGAGAGATAGAGACAATTTGGGAGAAAGTGGGGAATTGTTAGTTTCCAAATAAAAAGGAGAGGAATAAAGGAGATAAGCCATGTTAAGTGGCAAATCTTAGTGCTTTTATAGGGAGTCTTGCATCCAATTTAGAATTGCTTGTTTTGGGTACGGAGCAAGGAGAGAACTATTGACATGGCAAGTTCTACATTACTATATACATAGATATAGATATAGATAGTTATTACTTAAGATAAATAATTTCTATACTCCTTTATTCTTCTCTATTGTTTTTTTTTTTGAAAAAAAAATCCAATAATTTTTAAATTTTAATTTTGCTGATGTGGCAATTTCAATAACAACTCAACACAAACATTCATAGACCCCCAAGTTTAAGCCGTCTGTGTCTTTGTTTTGATTTAGGCTCTGTTTGGTTTATGGGATGGGAAGGGAAAATATGAAATGTTTTAGAATATTCTTCCCTTCCCATGTTTGGTATGTGGAATATCATGATATTGGATAGAGAAAAGGTGTGATTATAGATCCTAATTATGGGGTGTGGAGTCCCACCATTTTGGTGGGAAACAAGTGGAAATACAGGGGAAAACTTGTTTAACAAAAAGCAACACCTTGTAGTATTTAGAGTTAATAATAAATCAATGACCCATAAATAAATTATTAATTATTTAATAACATATTAATAAAATAAAAAATATATAAATTATTAATTAAGTCATAAGTATTAATAAAATAAAATATTAATAATAAATTATAAACTAATAAAAATTAAAATATTAGTTAACGATAATAACTAATGTCAAATTAATAATTAACAATAAAATACTACATAAAAAATATTATTTTACATTTATTAATAATACCTTATATACTAATAAATGTAAAATATTAATTAATTATCTAATTATAGATTTTAAATAATAGTAAAATACTAATTAATAAAAATGTTATTATATAAGTAATAATTAACAGAAATAGTTAATGATTAATTAACTAAGTAATAATGAATAAATAAATAAGAATTTTGTTATTAATCTAACTATTGATTCAATAAAAAATTAAATAATAAAAATGTTAAATAATTAAAGATAATTTAATTACTTTATATTAAATATTAATATATTTTAAATATTAAATATTAATTAATAGTTATTAATATGATTTAATTATAAATTATAAAATATAAAATAATAAAAATATAATTAATTAATAATTGTTAATAGGGTTAATTTTCCTTTTGCAAACGAACTAGGGAACATGGAAAAATTTCCACCCATTTTCCCATCCCATCTTCCTATCCTTCCGGTGCATGTCATGACCGTAGCACTAGCATATGCTAAAATGGATACCGAGACAAGAACCGCCCATTAATCAACACGTGGCTTTGTGCATGGCTTCTCCTTATCCACAAGATTAAAATATATTTCATAGTGACAAAATAAAAAGGAAAAAGAAAAAAGAAAAAAAAAAGCAAATCCAACGAAAGAATAAAAGTATACAACTCGAGAAACTTTACSAGTAAAAAAAAAAAAAGATATTCTTAAACTTTCTAGTAGCATCAATCAGTCAGCACCATTTTAGATTTATTAATTGATGGAGGGTGATTTGACCCGACCCCTTGGGATAGTGACATGTGGACATGACTCAGCATAAGTAACAACTCAGCATCACAGCTTGACCGCGATTAAGTAACGGGCTCGCAGGACAGTTTGATACGTCATAGCTCGCTACAGGGGGAGACCGCTATAGCACGAGCTCAAGGACCCTCGATGTACTGAAAGGGAATACTCCAAGACAAGTCTATCCCAGCTCGTGAGCTAGGGTGGCCAACTCGCTCCAATACTTGGGTAGAAAAATTGCCTAAGGGGCCACTTCAGGAGGAATCACCTCGCAATACCCTCAGTAGCTCGCTATAAGGTAGCTCGCGACATGGTGGCTCGCGACAGGGTGGCTCGTGAGCTAGGGATGCTTCTATCTAACAAGACCGTACCCGTCAGACTGCGCCACGTCTCCTGACCGATGGCTCAGTCCCTGTCAGTCCGACAAGTCTGTGCCCACGTCTCTTGACAAGTGGTGGCGTGTCTGTCCTTCTGGGACGTGTCACTCATCCGATTGGGTAGTACACTGCAACGGTTACCTGCGCAGACCAGGCGGATAACGATAGCGACAGAGGTCCAGTGGCGGTTATGCCCGATTTGACAAKAACACTCATATATAAGAGCCCCCTAGTTGAAGGAAAGGGCTCTCTCGAAGATCTGATATCATATATTGAATATCTCGAACCTTCTCTGGAGCTAACTCAATGATCTAGCTCGACCTACCATAGCCTTCTTTACACTCTTTACTAGTTTCTCTAGCGCTCTAACTTAAGCATCAGAGTATTCCCACCGGGTAAGTCCCCCGGAAATCCTTCACCGCTCTCTTCTCAAGTACCGTCCATCGCCAGCGATGAGCCAGTCAGCTGCCACCTAGGAGTGCCCGGATTGCGCACCATCATTAATAATAACTTATATGCTAATAAATGTAAAATATTAATTAATTATAGATTTTAAATAATAGTAAAATACTAATTAATAAAAATATTATTATATAAGTAATAATTAACAGAAATAATTAATAATTAATTAACTAAGTAATATGAATAAATAAATAAGGATTTTGTTATTAATCTAACTATTGATTCATTGAAAAAATAAATAATAAAAATGTTAAATAATTAAATATAATTTAATTACTTCATATTAAATATTAATATATTTTAAATATTAAAAATTAATTAGAAATTATCAATATTAATTAAATATAAAATATAAAATAATAAAAATATAATTAATTAATAATTGTTAATAGGGTTAATTTTCCTTTTGCAAACGAACTAAGGAACATGAAAAATTTCCATCCATTTTCCCATCCCATCATCCTATCCTTCCGGTGCATGTCATGACCGTAGCACTAGCATATGCTAAAATGGATACCGAGTCGAGAACCGTTCATTAATCAACACGTGGCTTTTTGTATGGCTTCTCCTCATCCACATGATTAAAATATATTTCATAGTGACAAAATAAAAAGAAAAAAGAAAAAAAAAGCAAACCCAACGAAAGAATAAAAGTATACAACTCAAGAAACTTTACCAGTACAAAAAAAGATATTCTTAGACTTTCTAGTAGCATCAATCGGTCAGCACCATTTTACATTTATTAATAATAACTTATATATTAATAAATGTAAAATATTAATTAATTAATTAATTAATTAATTATAGATTTAAAATAATAGTAAAATACTAATTAATAAAAATGTTATTATATAAGTAATAATTAACAGAAATAGTTAATAATTAATTAACTAAGTAATAATGAATAAATAAATAAGGATTTTGTTATTAATGTAACTATTGATTCAATAAAAAAATGAAAAATAAAAATTTTAAATAATTAAAGATAATTTAATTACTTTATATTAAATATTAATATATTTTAAATATTAAATATTAAATAATAATTAATTAGATAATTATCAATGTTAATTAATTATAAAATATAAAATAATAAAAATATAATTAATTAATAATTGTTAATAGGGTTAATTTTTCTTTTGCAACCGAACTAGGGAACATGAAAAATTTCCACCCATTTTCTCATCCCATCATCCTATCCTTCCGGTGCATGTCATGACCGTTCATTAATCAACACGTGGCTTTTTGCATGGCTTCTCCTCATCCACATGATTAAAGTATATTTCAAAGTGACAAAATAAAAAGAAAAAAGAAAATAAAAGCAAACCCAACGAAAGAATAAAAGTATACAACTCAAGAAACTTTACCAGTAAAAAAAAAAAGAGACTTTCTAGTAGCATCAATCGGTCAGCACCCACCCTCAATCTCAGCCAGTCACGTCGTGGGCCCCGCAGAGTATCGCCTCCTTCTGTGGCTGTGGATGGAGCAGAAGGGGTTCTGTCAGGCTGCCCGGCAGATTTCATAACTGCCCAAATATCCGAACACTATATCCATCCATCCATCCATTGTCATCATCTCCATAGTCGACGGTCCAGATGCAGCCCGGAAGCTCGAAAGATGCGTGAACATAACTAGCCGAGCGCCACGAAATATTAAAATTTAAAAATTAAAGAAAATTTGGAAATTTTGAATAAATTAATAAATAATTAAATATAAAGGGAGATAAAAGCGAAAATGTCCCGCATGGATGCTGTGATGTACACTGATAACGAAATCCATTTCGAAGTTGCAGCAGAGAAATAGAGGGAGACGAGAAGCTCTAAGTTAAATTTGTTTTTTGAGGTAAGAGAAAACGGAACCCTAGGGGCTCGATCTGTATGTCATTTTTTGTTGCTGATCTCAGTTTCAGTTATTTGTTTGATTAAACTGTTTATGTTGGTTGGTTTCGTCGTCCGATCGTTTTATTTCGGCTCTGTTGATTTGCATGCGTTTCTATTATAGGAGTTACCCCTAACTATTGATTGAATTCGCAGTGTTTAAAAGTTTTTGAGCAATTCGGTCTGTTCTTTGTGATGAGGAGGTGGTTGTTTGTTGGATTTGGGTGATGGTTTTGGTGTTTTGTCTGTGTTGTTTTGGTTGTTACTGCTAAGGGGCTAGTTGGTTTGGTTCTGAGGTTGTTAGTTACGTCATGGGTCTTGATTGGTGGATCATGGAGAAAGAGTGACAAGTTGATTCTTGAGAATTGACCAATTGGAAATGACAAGAATGGGGGATCAACTAGAGAATGACACAGACCCACGATTTTGCATTTCCTGTTTGCCAGCATTGGCGGTGTTTCAAGTAATGATATTTTAGTTTCATCACTTTAGAATAGATAAAAAGGGCGCTCTTAGCATCTTCTTTATGAGTGCGAGTGTTGAAGGATCAGAGTTAATTGTTGTGGTTCTTGAATGTTCTTGCAGGGGATAGTGATGTTACTGTAGTAGTTTTGAAGTTTTCTGAGGTCACTGCATAGAATGATCAATGATTTTGAAAAGATTGAATCCTTCTCGATCAACTGTCTATAGTGGTATATTTTCCATGTAAAGTTTGTCTATTCTTAACCATTCCTGTAACTTAGCWTTTTATAAGTTTTACCAATAAATTAAATAATTATATCTACAGGCTAGAATGGTGACATGACAGAATCTGATACTCCAATCAATATTCTAATACTTAACTGGATTTGAAGTAGTCAACCAGATAATGTAAATCAAGGACTCAAATTTTTAACACTAAAAGAATAGGAGTATAGAAGCGTATGTTTTGATTTTATTTTTCATAGTTTTTTTTATAGGTTAACAAATTTTTGAACTTTAAGATCCATCATGCATTGGATAAGCCTATATTATTCATCTGGAGTAATTCCCTTTCATCCGCATACAATCTTTGAAATGCATGAAGGCATGGACTCTTATTAAATGCCATTTTATAACACAAGATCCAAGCTATCATTGTTATAAGTCAAGAATTATCTGGACTAATATTATCAACAAAAGAAAAAAAAGAATTTTCTGGAACTGGGTCACTAAGTATTCTCCTCTGCAAGTAAATTCAAAATCATTTTATAAGGCAGGATCCAAGCTTTGTTTGTTAACCAAGATTCATCCAAATTAGTTGTGGTCAACTATTTGAAGCTTGAACTGACATTCTGTTTTATCAAGGGTCTTCTATAGAAGCCTAAGCCTTCAGTTTCAGTTGTATACCATGGGTTCTAGCAACATTGGTTCCAATCTTTATCCATTGGAGATGGTGGCTACATTAGAAATTTTAGATAGATCATTTGGATCATTTGATGGCTACTCTATGAGATGGCAGGACTATCTATCATTTTGAGTGCATGTTGCATCTCATATTTTGTTATATTCATTGTCCATTTATATTTGATAATGCAAAAAGCTTTTGTTATTCATATGTTACTAAGCAGGCAAAAAAAAAGAAAAAAAAGAGAGTACCTAACAGCAATAATACAAATAATAGAATTGATGATATCAAGAGATATTGGGAAAGTTAATGGAACTTAATGATGCAGTCTTGAGAACTTTTAAGTTCTTTTGTATTGCTTTGCTTTTGAGCAACAGTGGAACTCTCTCTCTCTCTTTCTCTCTCTCTCTGAGTCAATGACAAGATCAAGAGAGTTTTCATAAATTAGAGAAAAGCTGGATACAACCCCAAGCCTCTCCAAAGGATAAATCAGCAAGAAGGGGACCACAGTCTCCTAACTGACAAAATAAAGCAAAAATTACATAATTTGCAGCATTCAATTTTCCAGGAGCATAGTCTCCCTGATATAAATAAACTTTATTCACTCCTCTAGTTAAGCTTCTGTAAAGAAACTAGCACCTTAGTACCCATTTAAATAAGCTATTCGGCCAAGGATTTGGCTTCCCTAGCAATGGTACCTTGCCTTTCCTAGCTATTTTCCTGGAATAGCTATCAAAATTTAGCTTATGAAGTCCTTGTGTTCGTGGTTCCATGCCTGTTGTACTGGCCATTTGTGATCTGTGAATGGTAAAATTAGAAGTTGGTTGCCATTCTCTTGGTAAGAGTCCATAGAGACCACACTAAACTGTTTGTGGTTAACACTCAGTTTATTGCTTGGATGATCATTAGATTGATGATATTCTTCAGGTCCTCTTTTTGTCATCAACTATTGTTGTTTCCCCTCCCAAATGTTCCGAAGAGAAGTTGCCCTTGTGCAACACCTTAGTATCTTTCCTTTTGACATTGGTGGAGCAAGAAAGTTAGGGGAGAATGATCCATGTATCTACAAGAGGATGCCATCTTGACCCAAATAAAGGTGGGAAATAATCTAAAAAATGCAGAAGTGAATGAACAACAAAAATACTATATTAATATTTGAGTTTATTCAGGTGTAGGGGCTTGAAAGTGATAGAATTCTCTAGACATCCCTGCTCAATGATCCAGTTAGTGGAAAAGCTGAATGAAGAGCTGCTGCTCTTTGAACAAAGACAAGAGAATTGGTGGGCTCGGTGATGTGAAGGTGAACAGTGATAGTGAACAATGATGTTGAACAAAGACAAAGAATCGGTGGGCTTGAACAGAATTTTGGGTTTGGCAGCTGCGACGTGGCTAGAACCAATGTCAACTTTGACAAAGGGGTCTGTTAGGGAAGTAGGCAAGGTAGAAGAGAGATTGGAGTTTCAAATAGATATTTAGTAAGTAGGTTTGTTCACATGGACCCTGCTATTAGAGATGTGGAGAAATGGACAAGTGCTGAGTGGAGAAATTTGAGTTTCTCCTATGTTTGAAAGTTGGGGGCATCACATCACTATTTCTCTTTAGCTTCTGGTGGAGAGAAGATATGGAAGAATTGATCAAAAAAAAAAAAAGAAGACATGGAAGAAGCCCTAGCTAGGGAAGGGACAGGGAGAAAAGGAATCCAGAAATATTTTTTCAGTAGATGGTCGCCCTGTCTTGTAAAGGATGTCGAGAAAATGAGATTTGTTTGGATTGATGTCTATGGAATACTGTTACATGCTTGGAGTACAGAGGTTTTTAGAGCCATTGGAATTGAATGAGGTGGAGTTGGCAGGAGGTTTGGTCATCTTGTGGGATCTATGGGTCTTTAGGAAAGTAGGGGAGTATGCTGGGAGTCATTCTGTATCAGTTTGTAATGTGAATCTTTTCAGTCCAGTCTGATGCTTTTGATGTATGTTTGTAGTAGGGTGCCATCTTGACACCTGAACAGATTTTACCTGCTTTTATTTTTAATAAAGTTTTTCTTCATTACTCTTCAAAAAAAAAAGAGGCGATAAAAGTAGGCAGTGAAACCTTCTGCTGTTCGTTCTATGCTGGGAGAGTTGTAGAGAAAGGGGGTAGTCGAAGGTGAAAGGTCAGAGGCTTCTATTGTAAATTTGAAAAACTCTAAGTCCCTAGACCGAAAAGTCAAAAGGGTTTAAATGTTGGACCAAGTGGGGTCAGTCTAGGCTAGGGCTGTCAATGGTTCAGGACAGGATGAAACTGTTTCGAACCAACAAGAAATTAGGTTGTCCCGGTCCCGAACCAGACCCTATCGGAACAGTAGTTTGGGACCCAGAACCAAACCCATTATTAATCGGGCTAATTGGGTCTGGCCCGATAAGAACAATTCAGAGGGTTTTCCTTCAAAGATTAAGAGGTAAAGCTGCAAGTCTGCAATTGAATCTGCCCTAATGGCTGCTGGAATCAAATTGATTGTAGAAAATACTTGGCAGAGTTGTAAATAGGAGCTTAGGCAAAGAGGCAATGATAACCCTCTATGATTGGGCCGTCAAGCATCCCCATGTACCAAAAGAAACAAAAAATAAAAATAGAACCACATAGAGGAAGAAAACACAGCTCAAAGTGCTACCTGCCGCTGCAACATGTTTCTGCCGTTCAAGAAGAAAAAAACCATAGCTCAGATCAGATGGTCATTTCCTGCTGCGGTTTAAGAAGAAAAATCACCAATTAATGGTTACTTGCCGCTGCTGTTCTTTCTATTCTTGTATTCTCTGCATAGATGCCGTCACTACACTTCCAAATAAACAGATCTGGTCTTGTGCCTATCGCCTACAACTGCAACGTCTCAAAGTTTTGTGAGTGGTGTTTGATTTTGGTGTAGGTGTCTCCCTTAGTGGGCAGCAGATGAGATGAGAATAGTTTAGGGTTTAGAACTAGTAGTCAATAATAGAAAGAGTGAAAAACGAAAGGGTTTAGGGGTGCATGGGATTTCATTAAAGTACTTCTACTAGATGGACAATTTTAGACATCTACTATAATTGATATTACGTAAAATACCATTAACATATCATAAATGTTATGATATTTAATCGGTTCGGGTCTGAGTCAGTTCGGGACAGCTAAGACCGGTCTCGAACCGGTAATAATCGGGACACACAATAAAGAACCAGAACCGACCCAATGGGATAGAACTCTGAACCAGAACCAACATAATTGGTTCGGTCGGTTTGGTTCTATCGGGTAGACCCGACCCATTGACAGCCCTAGTCTAGGCAAACATTTGGCCAGTTTGGCACTATTGCAGTCCAACTCTGTTCCTATGAACAGGAACTTATTTGAGTCGAGCAAAGATTTAGAACTTGCAGATGTTGCTGAAGAAGGAACGAGATGACTTCAGGGGAAGACTACGAGTTGTGTTTGGAGGGGGTGAATACAAATGTTTTGTCACAAGATATTCTTACGCTGATCAAAACAAGGGGTGGGAAGGGAACAGATGTTTTGGGCTGTATTGTAATATTCTTTTCTTCTTTCTTTTCTAGGAGAGTTAAGCCTCTTTACCTCTTCCCGGAATGTTGTAATATTATTGTCCATTAATAAAATGATTTCTGTTATTGATAAAAAAAAAGATATTCCTACCACTGATGGTGAATGTTCTGAGAACTGACAAGATTCATTCCAAGAAAACCTAAGAAATCAATCGACTATGGAGAAGAAAGGTGAAGGACCAAAGGATCACAGAGGTTTGGGAGTTGTTTCCATGTTGTCTCGTTCAATAAAGGGTTTTTAGGGGTAAAGAAAGAGTCTGTGGATTGCATCTCCCTCAACTGCAATGTTTTGGAACACAAGTGTTCATCGGAGGTAGGCTACATTGACTCCTTGTTTTCTGAGTTTGACAAAAGCTGGGTGGGCTCCTCTGGGATGCAATTCAAGTTCTTTTTACTGGTTTGCACAAGTGCAGGAACACCCTCTGAACATTGGGAAAGAGATTAAAGGATCCCAAGGCATGCCCATCAAAACCACAGAATAAGGGGATGAGAATTGAGGGTAAAACAACCAAAAGAGTTGGGGGCTGATGCTATATTGTCAGAGGGTACGGAACAGTTCCTAGTGCTGAATCCCGATGGTGGTAGGGAAAGAACAGTGGAAGGTCCACACTCCTGTTTGGATTCGACATGTAATCTAGAGGAGAAAGGGATAGAGGATGAGGAAAGAACTAAAGGAAAAGGTCAGACTGATGTGAGAACGGAAGTTTATAATAGGAAAAGAACTTACAGGAAGTGATTATACAGAACAAGACTTTTGAAAGAGACTGAAGTTAAAAAGAGTCCTGTTGATGCCCTATCTTCCGATGAGGATGGTGGGGAAGAAGCTTGTATAGATGAGACTCATCAGATTGATAAAGCTGTTGATTTAACTTAGGTTGTGGACATGATTGTGGATGTAGGTAAAGCTCTAGGCTTGTTTGTTTTGGGAGGTGAATCTTTTACAAGGAAAATGTTCCAAGATTTGGAGAAATCCTATGCGTTGCCTGTAAGGGAGAATCTTGGAGATTTCTAGGTGCACCCACCGCTGATTGAGGAAGGCCACATTGATTTAAATACATTTAGTTTGGTAGGAGCTGTTGGTGAAAAAACTGAAGCTTTGGTTGATGTTCAGCAGTCCAGCTCTTTGAGAAAAACACAGTCCTGGAACTGGAAAGGATTAATGAGAATCTTTCTTGCTTGGTGGATTTCTGGAAGAATGTTTTAGCCAAGGTTCAAAAGTATCGATACATATCAGCCCGTATCAGCCGATACGTATTGTATCAGAGCCTTCCTGATACGCCCCTACAGGGGGTGTTTCGGGTTGGCAAGTGGTTCAGGGGGTAGACCGGCCTTAAACTGGCCCCTCTGAACCAGATTTGAAAAAAAAATAAAACAAAAACGAAAACAAAAACAAAAAAAGAGTACCGATACAGGCTGATACGCCCTACCGGCGTATCGCCCTGCATCGATACTTTGAACCTTGGTTTTAGCATATGGAAGACTTGAAAAACAGAGAAAACATCGAGATGTTCTGGTCTCAAAGGATTTTACTAGACCAGAAGGGAGTCTTTTCGGGATTAGACCAAACAAGAAGATCTTGAAGTCAAGAAAGCCTCAAGAAGTTTTTAATGGCCAGTCTTTTAAAGGATGTAGTCCTTGAGGGTGATTTGGTGAGGCCTTGATAAGAGAGTTTGTTTTGTTTTTTTCAGGGGCGCTGAAGTGTGTTTTATTTGTGCTGCCTTTGAGGTGCGTGGGTTTTTTGGTGATAATCTTGGGTTTTGGGTTTTGCTGGTTTTGTTGAGGTTTGGCTGGTTTGAGTTTCTTGTTTGGGAGTTGTTGTTTGCCTTTTCTTTTCTCTCTCTCGAGTGACTTCTAGTTATTAGTTATTACCAAAAAAAGGAAAGGTGTAAGGGCTCAGAACTACTGATAAAAAAAGATGTAGGGACTTGGGACTCAACATTTCCAAAAGGTTAATAACAAGGCAAAACTGAGGAAGAAACAAAATCCTTTTCCATCTTTTCCATGATATCATCAGCATTTTTTAAGGAGTGTCATTCCATTTCACAGGTGGTTTTTTTTAGATTGGAAGAATAGGTGGTACCTCTTAATTTTCAATTGTTTTGTGAGACCCAGAAATTATTACAGGCTTGGTGAAACATAATAGTTTTTCCATTTGATATGTGTTTTGATGGCTGGTAATTGAAAATCTCATACTTAACTTTTCTTATATTTTTTGATTTTTAGCTTTGTTTTTCCTCTCTAGTAATGCAGGTTGTTTTTCAGGTTTTTTTCATGCTCTTTATTTCCTTGGAAGGATCAGAAGGATTGTGCATTAGGCGTTAATGGAGATGAGATTGGATTTCAGTGGTTATCAAAACCGTAGCATATGATACAGAGACCTCAATCAGTTCTTCTAACTAAAGCTTTTCATATCAGATTGACTTGGATTGTGCTTCTATATCTTCTCCCTGTTTCACTTGAGGAAGCGAGTCGTTGGTGATTCAATATCTGAATATCATGACATCTGTCCATGATTTTTCATCTAATTCTGGTACTTTTTTTTTTCTCAAAATTTTCTCAAACATTATTTTTTATGATTGTAACCCTCTTTGAAGAATTTTATGTAAAACAATCCTCCAAAATACTTCACAAGTCCTTACTGGGCAAAGGCCTCTTTGTATGTGAATGCAAGATTGGATTGTGCAAAAATAAGCAACAATTGCCTTTACACCTCATTGGTTCTGCCAATGTTTTGTTGTTGCTTTGGATAACAATGCAAATCATGAGTCATCTCTTTTCTTAATAAAAGTTGCTGTTATTGAACAAAAAAAAAAACAATGCAAATCATGAGGAGCAGACCAAATATACAGAGAACAGTTGGGGAAAATTAGAAATCCTGAACTTTCCATTTATGATGCACACCCACCCTTTAATTTGCATAATTGGATGATGTTGCCCCAATAAGAAGTCAATTAAGTCAATTGATTTCTGGGTTCTGGCATGGTGAAATCGTTAGGTTTATTTATTTTGCTATCACTTGGTGAATGATATTGATTCAGTGATTATTGGAATTTCTTAAGCAGAAAAGCAGAAAAAGAAAGGGATTACAATGACTGGAAATTGTAGATGGCATTTTGCTAGCCACGTTTACTGGAATAGTTATCCACTGTTATTATCTCATAACTTGGATTTTCATGCATGTGATGTTGTAAAAGATCTTCATATTTCTGGGATGTTTGCATTCACCATTCATTCCATGAGTAATTGTCCTGTGCACTTGTTTATATACCAATGAAATCATTGCAGTCCTAGCATATTGGTGTTGGATATGGTACACCACCCCATATGACACCAGCTTGATATCCTTGGTTTGTTGCCTCTTATTCCCTTAAGGAAATAACCCTTGTAAATGTTTTAATTTTCTCTGACAATTGCAATTGATTCATTGAAACGATCTTTAGCAAAGTGATTTTAGTTGGTCTTCATTGCAAATATGTATTTTCTGGGTAACACAAAGGGAATTCATCAACCACTTGCTCCAACATCAGCAATTCGTAAGTTGTGGTATAACACCATTGACCACGACTTTTTGGAACCCATCAAGTTATGCTAGGGGGCTTATTGATTTTTAAATAGTTTAGGCATTCTATACACGGGGCTGATTATATTGGAGGATGATGGTATTTTCTGCCTTAGAGCATGTAGGCATATTCTAGATGGCATGTTGGCAAGGGTGTAAGAGGGTATTCAGGAGTGGCTTGTAAGACTGCTAGATATATGATCACCTAATCTGGATGTTTACCACTAGGGACTTAATATGTTGGACAATGATGCTATTTCTTTATCTTGATGCATTGGAAGGATTCTAGATGGCCTGCTGATGGCTAAGGGCTGAAGGAATGAAAGGATGAATGGAAAGTGGTTTGGATGGTTGTGGTGAATGAGCTTCTGGACAGTGGGGAAGGTGGTTTAGATGAGTGATTTCTTATTTAAGATGTTCCTGTGGATTAACTCAGGCATCTACCATGTATTTCCTTTTGTTAGGATGTCTCAAATTACTGTAGAGTGACTTGTATATTGCAGGGAAGTTTTAGATGTTGGAGAAATATCCAGGTATCTTGGATGCTTAGGGAGAGGAAAATAGAAAGAGAAATGGTGCTATTGGGTGGTAGAAACTGGGGTAGGTCTATGATGCAGTCTTTTCTCTCTATTTCATATCGTTGCTGCAAAGAGGATTCAGATGGACTTATTTTGTTATTGTTGGGAGCATATTATAAGCTTGTGTACTTGTAGTTTGATAGGCAACTGGGGATCAGGCTTGTAATATCCATGAACCTAGCTGTCCCAGGTTATAAGGAGAAATAGTGCTAACATTTGATAATCTGACAGAAAGATGATTGCCAGTAGCAGGTGTCTTGGGAATACAGCAATGAATGAAGCCTAAGAAATTGATGTGTAGAAAGCTGTTTGCATATTTCTAGACAATTCATAATTGGTTAAAAAAGAAGCCCTTCTTAGTGTCCTAATTAGTGTCTTATGGGGAAGAGATGCTATTTCTCTTCAATGATGAAAAACACTTTGCACTTGTAGTTTATAAGGAATTAATAAAACAAAATGTGGCTGGTGTCTTCCATTGAAGCAGGGCTGTGGAAAGAGAGTTGTAGAGAGAGAGAGAGAGATGAGAAGGGCGAAAGAGATGGATTACATGGCACTGTTTGGTTGGATAGTTCAAACAAGGAAAAGTGTTATATGGGTTTGAAAAGACAAATCGGGGCTCTGATCTGTTGGGGCAGGTTTTTTGACCACTGGTTTAGGGTGGGTTTCAGGGAAACCCGAAACTCTAGTGACTGGGGGTGGGGTAGGGGTGGTATTTGTCCACCCTGCCTCGAACTCACCCTGGCTAAAAGTGTGTCTTTATATATATATATAACTTTAATATATTATATTTTATCAAATATATATTTATATTATATAATATTACATAATATAATATAGTTATAAGTAGGTTTAAAAAAAACAAAGAGAAGGGGTTTGGATTTCTAGCCTTGTTGGGGCACGGGGTGGGGTATTTGAGTTCGTGGTCTGGGACGGGGTATTTGAGTTTACCTATTCAGATCGGAAACCTCTTTGACCCGACGACTTTCAGTTGGTCAAAGAGAAGGGGTAAGATTTTTTGGAGATGTCTAAGGGCTGCATTGATTTGGATGGTGTGGGAGGAAAGGAAGGTAGAGTGTTCAATGATAAAGAAAGAAGTAAGGAAGCAGTGCTGGAATGCATTTTATATAGAGCTATAATGTGGGCCAAGTCTCTAATATTATTTTCTGAGTTCTCTTTTTGATGATTTGTGGAGGAATTTGGAAGTGGTAGCTAGAAGCTCCTCTAAGAGAGTCAAACCTGTTGGCTGGAAACCACCGGACGAAGGCTTCATCAAACTGAACTTTGATGGAAGCAGTCTAGGGGACCCAGGCCTGGCTGGTATAGGAGGAGTTTTTAGAAACTCTGAAGGTCATATTGTTGCTGTTTTTTCAGGTCCAGTTGGAGTAGGGGATTCGGCCTTTGCGGAGTTCTGAGCTGTCTTACAAGCAATGCAGATTGCTAGAGAATTAAATTATGACAGGCTGGTAGTGGAAGGTGACTCTAAACTGGTAATAGGTTGGTTGAAGGAACCTGAAATGGTAATTTGGAATATAAAGAGTATATGAAAAGATTTAAGTGGCTGGCCAGGGATATGATAATCTCAGTCCAATGAGAAAGACGTTCAGCTAATTAGATGGCTGATTTTTTTTTCGCAAAATGTGGGGTGCATAGATCTGATTTATTTTGGGTTCAGTTGTAATCTTGTTTCCAGATGGGGCTGCATCTTGCGCCTCTCCTGGATGTACTCTGTACCCTTGTGATATTTCTCCTAGTCTAATAAAATTTCTATCATTCATAAAAAAAAAGGAACCCCCGCCTTGCACTGTTGCCATTTCTATCGTAGTGAAGGTTACCAAGATTGGAGGTTTAAATAGGGTAGGGGAACATGTGTATGGCAGCTTTCCTGAACAATTTTTGATAATTGGTATTAAGTTCCAATTATCCAATGAGGTGAGTAGCGTGATGGGGAAGCCAAAGGGGAAGTTGGTTCAAAACCGAACCAAGTGGAGACTTTTGTTTCTTTGGATTTGGATCCCACACATGATATCTTATTGGGGGTCGTGAATAGTCAGGAATCTGGATTGAGGAAAGGTCTTGTGGGAGGAATAATTTTGAACGAGGCGTGTGGGCTGGGTTATAGGTTTAGGCCCGGTGGAGAAGTTAACCATTTTATGTTAAAGGCATGTAACCTCAGTAGGCTGTGTGAGTGCGGTAGATCATTGTTGGGGTCAACAGGCTGAAACTTTTGAAGGAGAACAAACGAATAAAGTTTTGTGACAAAGAAAGTTTACAAGTTTGATTTTGGATATGGATGATTAATGTTTGGAACATTGTAAAATTTTCTCAGGTCCTTTTGGATATGGAATCTCTCTCAGGGCTGAACTGTTGGTGGTCATTCAAAGGTTAAAGTTGCTATCATTAAAGGGGTTGAAAGAAGTGGACATCGAAGGAGATTGCCAAACAGTTATCACTTGGATGAAGAACAGAGAAGAAATTCCTTGGAGGATGAGGCCTATGGTAAGACAGGCACTCTTCCTAGGGGACCCCTTGAACATCTCATTGAATTGGATACCCAGAAGTAAGTGCCAATTCGATGGCTGACACATTGGTTAGAGCGGGAGCATCAAAATATCAGTTAGAGTGGGGTTGTCCAGGGCCGGGCTGTAATTTGTAACTTTCTAGTCTTTCTTTTTGTTTAGCTTTAGCTTCAGCCTTGTACCTGACCTCTTATTCCTCTGGGGCCTGTTTGATGTAGTCTAGGATTTTTTCAGTTCCTTAATGAATGAATTTTACTTGTTACTTACCAAAAAAAGTCAAAGGAAGATAAAATAAAGGAAGGGGGAGATGACTGATGGTTCCAGTGGAAAAGGGAGGTTCAAGTGGGAGGTTGAAGGATATTCTGGGAAGGGAGGGAGTTGATTTTGGAGGTGGGGAGAGTATTTGTGCTAAGTTATTTCTAGTAAGAAGGGGAGGAAAGGGAGATAATTGGGAGTGAGAAAGAGGGTGGAGATAGATGCGCTGGGATTGATGTAACTATGGATGGAATGATAATCGATCCAGTTACAGGGGAAGATATTGTGTGGTTATTCAAAGGGACGATGAGATAGAGGAAGTAGAAGTAGAAGACGGGAAGGGGTGTTTAGAGAAGGAAGGTCATAATAGGGAGGGATCATTTAAAAGTTTAAGAAAAAGAAACATAGGACTGTGCCTTTGTGTGAAATAAGGGAAGGTGATGACGATGTTGAGGAAGATGCTGAGTGAACCAAGGATGAAGTGTTTCTTGACGAAACTCATGAAGTAGAGGGTGTGATTGATGTGGAGAAGGTGGTAGCGACAGAGTGGAGGTGAGTTTAGGCTTGTTATTCATGAATAGTTCTAGAATGCAAGTTCAACCTTTTGATTTGTTACTCCCCTTACTCCTTAAGAACTTACTATGTGTTTGAACAAAATATATTGGACATTTTAGAAGATATTCTGTAAGGAGCTTCATGAATTTTGGAAGTTTCTTTGAATTTGATGGGATAAAATATTGAATAAAATGTAGTTCAACAAAACTGAAGGAATAAAGGTAAAGAGTGGTGAACCATATTGGATCTGCATGTTCTGTGCCCTGGATTTTGATAAGTGAAGGATTAAACGCAAGTTTACAATTTGTGCCTGTTAGAGTCGGCTGTCAAGCGGTATTTTGTTCTTTTGTCTTATTTTAATTGATTTGTGTTATGTCCTTTATGTCTTACTTTTAAATGATATGTCCCATACTTAATTAGGAGCATAACTGTCATTGTATTCCATATTAGAAACATATAAATACAACCGGGTTGACTGGAGAGATTGATTGAATTCTCTCTAGACCGAACCAAGGGTTTTTTTCTCCTTACTCTTCCTTTCTCTTCTCTTTCTCTCCCGCTTCTTCTATTCTCTTTCTCTCTCATTCTAGGACCGAATCCAGTGCAGGTTGAACCAATAGCATGGTATCAGAGCATTGGTAATCAGTCCAGAGATCAACCTAGAATTTTCCATCGTCTCTCACCCTACTGTTTTGAAGAGATCTCATTGATTCTTTGGAGAATCAAAAAAGACATCAGAAAGGAGTTATCGTTTCTCTGTTTAGGAGTTTTCATGCCTCCAGTTGGTGCTGAAGTGGGTGTTTCGGTGGTTGCTAGAAACCCTCTAATTGATGAACTGAAGAGGGATGTGTGATTGGTGCACAGTTGATTTCTATGCAATAGTCAGTTTGTTTGAGTGGGTGTTGCAGTTGAGAACAAATGTAATTTGGTTGTCGACCTTTAGGTATGTGTTTGAGGTGTTTCTTTGTGGTTTTGTGGTGATGAGAGTGTGTGTGACAGCCTTGACTATCATTGCTGAAACTTGTGATAGTAGATGTTTTCAGCAATAATTAGTCATTAGTGCTGTAGTGTGGTGGTTCCCCCTGATTACTTGAATGTGCAAATGACCTCTATCAAACTAAATTGTGAGAATTATGTGCCTTGGGATGAGTTAGTGGAAGCCTTCCTTAGGGCTAAGAAGAAGGTGAAACATGTGAGAGATGACAAACCCTCATGTGATTCTCAAGGGTACAATGAGTGTGAACAAGAAGATGCATATATTATGACATGGTTGTGGAATAGCATGGAGCTCAAAATTAGTGTGAATTTTATGCTTTTTGATACAACCAAGGAGATTTGGAATCATGATAAGAAATTTTATTATGGGCAAAACAATACTACAAGATAATACCAACTTTACCAAGAGTACTTTAATCTGCAATAGGGAAATCAAAGCCTTGAGGAGTATTATACCAGCATGAGAAATCTTCAAGATGAGTTGAATGTCTATCATTCGTTGACATCAAATGTCAATTCGGCAAAAACAGTGGAAATAACTTGATGTGACCAAATTTTTAGTGGGATTGAAAGCTGATTATGAGTTGATGAGAGCACAAATATTAGGTGGTTCTGCGCTTCCCTCTCTTGAGGAGGTGTCTCCTTTTAGTGTGCCTCCTTTTTGAAAGCCCTCTGTTCTTCCTCCCCTCAGTCATTTTTTCTGGTAAAGGAGCTTTGGGCTAAGCCAGTTCCCCCCAAAATTATCTTGTTTTGTTGGGAAGTGTTTTATGGAAAAATCAATACTCTAAATTGCCTATAAAAAAGAAGCCTTTTATGTGCTTGTCCCCTAGTTGCTGTACTCTTTCCAAAGCTAATGGTGAGGACTGCTTCCACTTACCAATTTCTTGCTCCTTTGCTGTTGCTATTTGGGATTGGATTTTTGCCTTATTTGGTTGCAGGTGGAATTTGCCCACTGATGCAAGTCTGCTTTTCGACTCGTCGGTCTTTGTATGGCCCACAAAAAGAGGGAGGATTTATGTGGAAATCTATTAGAGCATCCGCACTTTGAACAATTTGGGAGGAAAGAAATTCAAGAATTTTTCAAGAAAAGGAACGAAGCCTCCTGGATATCAAAGAGTGTATCTTAACAAGGGCAATTCATTGGTTGAGAACTTCAGAATTTTTCCATTTGTTCTCCTTTGATGACTTTAGAAGGAACTGGCTAGAGGTGGCTAATAGCTCCCTCAAGAAGGAAAGGACTTCTATAGTATGAAAGCAGTCAAGGAAATCCTGGCCCCTCAGGTATGGGAGGGATTTTGAGAGATAAGGATAGTAATATCTTAGCCTTGTACTTGGGTCCAGTGGGAATAGGAGACTCAAATAGGATTGAGTTGTTGGCAGCTTTACAAGGTATTTAGATTGCTAATCAACTTGGTGTTGAGAACCTTCAAATTCAAGGTGACTCCAAGATTGTTGTAGGTTGGTTAACAGATCCAAGCTCAGTCATTTGGTTCTACAAGAACCTCTCAAAGAAAGCCAGCTGGTTATTAAGAAACATGAATGTTAGTATACAGTGGGTTGGCAAGTCTGCAAACGCTATGGCAGATTATCTTGCTAAACAAGGGGTTTTGAGGGAATATTTGTACTGGGCTACCTTGTAATCTTGATTTATAGTGAGTGCTATGTGATTTTCACTCTTTAAGGGAGGTCACACCTCGTGCCTCTCAATAAGATGATTGTAACAGTTCTCATATTGTCTTAATAAAATTCCTCTTCAATTATCAAAAAAAAAAGAAGTTCTAGGTGGTGTTGATGTGGCATTATTTAGCATTCAGAACCTAGATATTCTATTCTGGACCATAGGAGTATTACCCATGTATGCTAATTCCCCAAGGGGAAAGTTGAACAAAGGCAATGTCTTTTCTTTTTCAAGGTGTAAAAACTTTGAGGATGTTGGATCTGGTTACTATTTGTGTACATAGATTGAAATCTATGTATGGAGCAGAGTGTTGGGTAGTCAAGAAACAACATGTTCAGAAAATGTGTGGTAGAAACGCGAAGGCTAAGATGGATGAGTGAAAAACTAGAAAGGATAGGGTCAGGAATGAAGCCATTCCGTAGAAACCTAACAGTAGCTCTAATAAGTGATAAAATGAGAGAGAGTAGGCTAAGATGGTTTTGATCACATGCATAGAAGACCACCAACAGTTCCAGCTAGAAGAAGTGATTTGTTACAAGTGGAAGGGGCTAGAAGAGCTAGTGGTAGACCAAGAAGGACATGAGTATACTGCTTAACAAGACACATAACATTTAGAGTCCAATTGATGGGTACAATGGCAAATGCTCTGGCTGATTCTCTTGTTAAACAGGGATCCTCTAGGGGTGGGTTATTTTGGGCAGCTTTGTAATCTTTATTTCTGATCTCTTGTAATGTTTTGGAGAGGCTGCACCTCCTGCCTCTCCAAGGGATGCTTGTAAATCCTTATTCTATTTGATTAATGAAATTAACTTTCAATTATCAAAAAAGAAAGAGAAATGATTTAAGCACTAATAATTTAGCAGTAGTATGATTTTAAATAGAACATATTGGTGAAAAAGAATTCATGTAGCCGACCCCATTTAGTTGGGATAAGGCATGGATGATGATGATGATGAGATTGAAATCATTAATTTTTCTTTTGATCAGTAGTTTGCAATCATCATTTGGCCATCTGGAAAGGAAAGAGCAGTGGGAGATCTACATGATTATAGAGATATGGTATTATGACCTCAGACATGGTATCCCATTTCTCTTTTTCTGATTCAGCTAATGATAGTCAGATTACTTTTTTGGAAAGGTGTCACTATGTATGCTTATTGCAACTGAATGGAAACTTTGATGCATCAGCTTGCTTATTCCTTTCCCTTCCATCTATTTATCAGCTCCTCCATTTTTCTGATTATTGTCTCCATAAATCATATATCCATGGGTTCGATGCATACAAGCATTGATTTTCCAAGTTGTGCTGTTGTGGATAATGCTCCAAAAAGACATGGAAGCATAAAGTTAGTTTTATATAATCAAGCTTGATAATGGGATTCAAATAATATATAACGAGAATATATTTTTCTTTTAAGAAAACTAAAATCCAAATGCATTTAGCCTTTGAACCTTAAACCAGCTTAGCACAGAAGCAGAGATATGGTCCTTGATAAAGTGGAAAGGTGAAACATCTTGCACTGTATAAGCCTTGCTGAGTTAAGTTGTTTAGCCCTTTCTCCTTGGGTAGAAAGATCATTTAATTCTGGTTTGTGACCCTGAAATTCATATTTTGGAATGTTTAGGGAATTTGTGGAGGAAATTAATTCATTAGTTACTTACAAGTGGGATTCTAATCAAATTCAGGCATTACTTTTTGCTATAGCTAGAGTTGTCAATGGGTTGGATCTGGTCTGATAAGAAATTAGGTTATTCTGGTTCTGAACCAGACCCTATTGGTTATAATTCCTGACCCAGTACCGAGCCACTTATTTTGCGTCTATAATAACCTGTAATACGACAATAAACTGCTCTATGAAAATGCTCTTAAAACAAGTTTTCTTTTATTATCAATCTCATCACAATCATCTTTTTTTGTTGATCAGCAACACAAAGAAGAATTTTATTAATAGAGAACAAGGAACAGATTGCAACAAGGAGTTGTTATAGGACAGTCTGAAACAGGACTAGCGCCCCCCCCCAAACAAAAAAAAAAAAAAAAAATCACAAATGTACCCAGCACAATTTTTTTGTTTGAACCCCTTGCTTAGCTAAGCCGTCAGCCAAGCTATTTGCAGATCTCCTAATCCATCTAATTTGGATATTCAGGTCTTTTGAGATCCATTCAAAGCATCTGGAATCATTTTATTAGCTGCCCAATCACCCCTTCACCTTTCCTTGGTCATCCCTCTAAAAATTTTCTTAGAATCATCTTCAACAATCAGTCTGTCAATGCCCATTTCTTTTGCTTTTTCCACTCCAAAAACTGCTGCTAGAAATTCTGCTTTTACTGAGTCCCCTTGTTTGATTGGGCCAGAAAATAAGGCCCGAACAGCACCATTCTCATCCCTGATTACCCCTCCAATGCCTGAGGGCCCCAGGTTACCCATACTGCTGCCATCAAAATTCAGTTTCATCAAACCCCTCCCGGGGGGGGGGGGGGCTCTAGACTTTCTATTTTCTAGAGGAAAAGACAGTTATGGCTCCCCAATTCCTGAAAAAGTTCTCCATCTTGAAGTCCTTGAACAATGTCAGAGTTTTGATCCAGTGTGCTACTCTTAGAGCTATGATTTCAAAAATTGCGTCTTTACTTTCCTTTTCCTCAAAGGTTCTCAGATTTCTTTCTTCCCATACTGTCCACACCATTGCTGTTCTTGTACATTTCCATAACAATCTACCCCTCCTTTTACCGCTTCTTAATACATTAGGGCCAAACAACGGTTTGTGTATTGGAGTTCGGGTTCGTTTCTGGGAAGACACCTGGATCAGTAACTCCATCCTTACGGACCTTTTTCCAGCTTTGTACTCCCTATCCCTCTTTAAAAATGAATCCATTCAATGGTTTGTGTGTTTCTCCCAATCCTCGGGTTTTAGTTGGAACCTGGGGTTCAAAAGAGATTTGAGAGAGACTGAGCTTGATCAAGCTGCTTCATTGCTCAAAACCCTTGACAATGTTTGTTTGGACTTCTCTAAACCTGACGCTAGAATTTGGACTCCCAATTCTATGGGGTGGTTTTCTTGTGCTTCTTTTTTCTCTCAGTTGTGTTTTTGTCCCTAACCCTCAGCCTTTCTTTTGTATGGAAATCTGGTCTAAACCTATTCCCCCTAAGGTTAAAGCCCTTTGTTGGGAAGTCTCTCTTGCGAAATTAAACACCTTGGATAACCTACAAAAGAAAAGATCCAACCTTTGTATCTCCCCAAATTGAAATTAAACACCTTGGGTAACCTACAAAAGAAAAGGTCCAACCTTTGTATCTCCCCAAATTGGTGTTTCCTTTGCAAAGCAAATGGAGAGAGCTGTTATCATCTTCTAATGTCATGCCCTTTTGTTGTGAAATTTTGGGAAAAGATATTTGGTCTTTTTGGGTGCAGGTGGAGGAGGCCTTTGCAAATCGGGGGGCTTTTTGACCCTACTACTTTCAGGTGGCCTAAGAAAAGAGGGAGAGTCTTATGGAGGTGTGTTAGGGGGGGCTGCTTTAGTTTGGACAGTTCGGGAGGAAAGAAATAACAGAATTTTTAATGACAAAGAAAGGGATGAGGATTCTGTGTGGGAATGTCTGCTGTTTAGGGGGCTCAAATTGCTAAAGATTTGAGCCTCAGAAATCTGGTCATAGAAGGAGACTCCAAAGTTGTAATTGGGTGGCTGAAAGAACTGGAGACAGCGGCTTGGCGTTTCAAGGGGGCCATGAGAAGATTCAAATGTCTAACTTCTAATTTAACAGTCAGAATTCAGTGGGAGAGAAGATTGGCAAATGGGCTGGCAGACCTACTAGCTAAGCAAGTGGTGAATAGGAGTCAACTTTTATGGGCTATACTGTAATTTATTTTGACTTCTGAGGCTGTCTCGCACCTCTTGGGAAAACTAAATGCTGTATCAATTGTAAACCATTCTTAAAATTTTTAATGAAATACTTTATTATTCATAATAAAAGACCTCTCCAAACTATCAGGGGGTCCCACCTACACCCAAAGAGAGAAAAAAACCATTCCCAGATACAGTAAACAAAAGGACATGAGATTAAGAAACGGAAAGCAGTCTCACCATTCACCTTACATAAGCAACACCAGTTGGGGACAAAGGCCAATTTGGTCTTTTCCTCTGAAGCCAATGGGAAAAGAGGTGCTAACAGCTTTTACAACTTCAACCCGCAAAGGTCTTCTACAACTTCAAATTTTCAATTTCTCTTTCACAAATTGACATTGGAATTTTAATGAGAAAAAACAGAGATCATCCAACAATCGCAGTCCAAGAAGCCATCCTATGATTCCTATCATTCGGTAATGATAAAAAAGGGTTTGGGTTGCAGAGATGAATGTTCATCTAAGGGTGCTTCTCAATGTTGAGCTTCCACACTTTGATCTCATCTTCTTAGAGAACAGCATGCTTTGTCTTTTCTCCCTGTACCTCAGTATCTCGTCTCTCTATGCTTTATGTTCAATGCTGCCTCGCTCATCTTCAGATCTCCTTGCCCCCACCACTACCCAATGTGTGTAGCCATTAGAAAAAGCTGAAATAAACTATGAATCAAGAAATATACTAAAAAGAGATAAAACATGCTATAAAAGTGGAGAAAAGTAGCCTAATTACAGAACCAGTTGAAGAGAAGAGCTGTGGTTACCACATAGAGGAGAGAGAACCAAAGAACACAGGTAAAACTGGTACTTTCTTTTGGTGTGAAAGCATCTAGAGCATCTTGTGGTCTCACCTCAGCTCTCAAACTCTCACTCTAAGAGATTCAGAAAAGAGAAAAATATCATAGGTGAGAAATGCTAGCGCTTCCTAGTTAGAGAAGCAAACCACTAGAAAAATGGAAAACAAGGGTGAAGAGAAAAGAATGGAGTTGAGTGATTAGGGCTTTCTTTGTCTTGTATATTGGCTCTTGAATTTGCACTTTAAAGACATGAACAATAACAAATAATACTAGACCCATGAGGTATGGAGACATGTATACTTAATCGGTTTGGGACAGTTAAAACCAATTCGACCCAATTATAATTGGGAATTTGGGACAGAAGTGGCAAAACTAGAATTGACCCAATTATAATTGGGACACAACTTTGAACCAGAACTGGTATACTTAGTTTGGTTTTGTTGGGTAGATCTGACTCATTGGCAGCTCCTGTCGTGTAGCTTTATCTGTGTTGGTGCAGACTTCGTGCAATTAGTCAATTTTTTTTTTGATAATTGTTCATGCAATTAGTCATTGAAACTCCTCTTTTGTGTTTATTGGTACTTCATAGTTTGTTACTTTATTTTCCTCTTTTTTTTCCCGACTAGCTTCCCTCTCCTGATCTACAGCAGGTTAGTTTGTATAATTTCTAATACATGTAACAACTGTGGAAGAAGTGCAAGCGGGCCTTTGTTCAAGTGTTAGTCCAATTAGTATTGTCACATGGCAAGTTGACAGTTATTCTTCCATTCTGATTAAACAATTGAAGAAATTTCAAGGGCCATTTGTAATAGAAAGTACAGTGTACATTGCGTATGTAGCTAACATGGACCAGGACAGCACGCGTTTCTATCTGGAGGTTTAGATGGTGTTCTGAGTTTGGCATATTGCTTTTTAGTGCAGGCTTTGAAGCTCAATACTGATGAAAGAAAGAACAGATACATCTTCCCTGATAGAGGGGGTACCATGGTCCCTCCTATGTTAGTTGTTCTGAAGGGTGTATTGTTTCCTAAAAATTGTTAATTCCACTACAAAGTATTTTGACTTACATGTTGGTGTAAAGGAAGGAGAAAAATTGTCTTAAGATAGTGATGTGCATGTGCCCTCTTTCTTTTTGATGTTTATTCAACTATACTTATTGGCTTGAACTCAAAATGTTGGTTTATGTGCAAATCACTTGTTTTGAAGCTCTATTCCATGTGGTTGTTTTTGCTCATATATATTTTATAAATAAATTATTGGAAACTTCTGTTTATCCAGATAATGATGCACAGGATGAGCAGCAAAAGAAGCTGGAATGTCAGACTCAAAATCAGCCTCCTGCAAATGGGATCCTTAATCCTGCTGTGGCATCCCCTGCTGCTGGATATACGATGCCTTTGCATCATGAAGTTGGCCATTCTGTGGTACTTTTTTCAAAGCCAAGAATCAAACTTAGTTAAAGATTTATCTTTACTCTACATTGAAAATGTTCTGCTTGCCCAAGAATCCTCCATCAAATTTCTTTGGTAATTTATTGAACTTGACATCTAATATTTGATTTATTCCTCCAAATAAGTAAACAAGTAATGCTGAAGGTTATGAGATTCAAATGCACATACCAGACTGTTAAAGTTCAGATCTGTATTAGTTTTAGTTCCAGAATAACAGAGAAAAGAGAGAAGAGAGAAATAATAGAAGGAAGAGAAGAGAAGAGGAGAGGAGAAGAAAGACTGGTTCAAACTAGTGAAGACTGTTGTGCCCCTAGTTAAGTATGGGACACATCACTTAAATCAGACATTACATCACACTCTTAACATAAAACAAAAAGACCAAACTGCCCCTCTACAGCCGACTCTAACATCTCCCTCAAGCTGGTGAGTATATGTCATATAGTCCCAATTTGTTAGATGTAATCCACTCTTCCCTGACTCAACCCTTTGGTGAGCAAGTCTGCCCATTGACTTCTTGTGTTTACATATGTAGTACTTATCACTCTACTGAGCACCTTTTCTCTCACAAAGTAACAATCAACTTTTATATGTTTTGTTCTTTCATGAAAAATTGGATTGGAGGAAATGTGGACTATAGCTTGGTTGTCACAATTATAGCTTCATAGGGGTATTAATTGAGTACCCCATCTCTTGTAAGAGGTTCTTCAACCACACTAGTTCACATGTTGTATGTGCCATGGCCCTATATTCTAGTTTCTGCACTGCTTCTTGCTACCATTGTTTGTTTCTTGCTCTTCCATGTCACCAAATTGCCCCCAAGAAAAGTATAATAACCTGTAGTGGACCTCTTGTTAGATATAGAACCACCCCAATTAGCATCAGTTTATCCCTCTATCTTAATGTTTCCTCCACTCTTGTATAACAACTCACGATCTTGAGCTCTCTTCAAGTATCGTACAATCCTCAGAACTGCATCTCAATGGGGAACCTGAGGATTTTGCATAAACTGACTCATCACACTAACTGCAAATGAGATATTTGGCCTAGTAATGGTCAAGTATTTCAACTTACCCACCAACCTTCTGTACCTTCCGGGATCTTCAAACTCCTCACCCGCATCAAACTCCTCACCCGCATCACTACTCAACTTGACATTTGGTTCCATGGGTGTTTTAGCTGGCACCCAACAATCCTATCTCCTCTAACAGATCAAGAACATACTTCCTTTGACATAGATTAATATCATTCTTGGAGAAATATTTTAATTTACTAGGGTCCTTTGTTTGGAAGTGATGATGCAGAAAGGTCTTCAATCTATCAATGCCCAACCTATCTCTATCGGTAATAACACTATCATCTACATATACCACTAATAACATATTCCCTGCAATCATAGTTGAATGTTGAATGATCAATCTGACACTGTTTCATGCCAATTTTTTTCACCACTTCACTGAATCTACCAAACCATGCACAGGGTGACTGTTTAAGTCCATAAATGGCCTTTTTGTGTCTCCACACCTCACCATCCTTCCCCTTAGCAATGAACCCTGTAGTAAAGGAAAAGGAAGTGGGTAAACAAAATAGCGAGGAAGAATCCAATGAAAAGAAATTGGTGTTTCAAAATTGGAGGTGGATGGTAATATTATCACTCAACAAAAATGAGATTGCTTGAGCCTTTGTGGATCACTTTAAATCTATGTTTAGGAAGCCATTGAATGAAAGAGTGTGGTTTGATGTTTTGGATTGGACTATCTTATTTGATGAGTCTAAGGATTGACTAGAAAGATATTTTGAATTAGAAGAGATAAGGCTGTGTTTGGTTTGAATGAAAAGGTAGGGAAACCTTTGCAAATCTTGTATAGGTTTCTTTGACTTTCCCTTCCTTTCCCTACGTTTTCCTTCAAACCAAACATAGCCTAAAGGCAGCAGTTTTCTCTATGGACATACCCAAAGCGCTTAGCTTGAATGATTTTACTATGTCCTCTTACCAAGATTGTTGGGATATATTGAAACATGACATCCATTTTTTTTTTTCTTTAGATTTTTTTGAGAGGGGTGTGATGAATCCAGGGCTCAACTCAACCTTCATTGCTTTGATCCCAAAAAAAAGTTGAGGTTGTGCACCCAAAGTATTTTAGACTGATTAGTTTGATCAGCAGCATCGTGGTTAGAGCCACTGTCGATTACGATGAGAGGTGTGTTGGTTAGGGATAGAGGCAAGGTTGAAGAAAGACTAGAGTTATTAAATAGATGTCTAGTAGGTAGATATGTTCACTTGGATCCTGACATTAGAGTTGTGGAGAAGTGAGTGAACCAAGAATGGAAAAACCTAAGTTTCTCTTGTGTTTGAAGGATGGGGTTGTCTTTATTCTTGTTTAGTTTTAGGTGGAAAAAAGACATTGAAGAAACACTAGCAAGGGAATGCATTGGAAAAAGAAGAATCTCGAAATGTTCTGTAGTCGTTGGTCTCCTAGTAATGGTTTGGAAGTAGAGAAAATGTGGTACGTTTGGATTGATGTCTATGGGATTTTGCTGCATACTTGGTGTACAGAGGTTTTTAGGGCCATAGGAAATGCTGTGGGAAGCTTCAAAAGATTTGATTTTTAGGAATAGAAGATGGGAAAGTATACAATATGCAAGAATTCTAGTTGAGACAGAAGATGTTAACTTGATCCCAGCACATTTGGATCTGTTTTTTATTGCAGAAGTCTTCAAACTTTGGATTGTAGTTTCTGGCGGTGATCCACTATTTCGTTGGAAGGATCAAGAGGCGATTGAGGAGGCCATCGAGGTAAATAATCTAAAGAATTTTTTTGTGCTTCAAAATGCTTTGAGAGAGACATAAAAATAAGGGATTGCAGAAGGTGAAAGGTCAGGGGCCTGCGTTGTAAATTTGAAAAGGTACAAGCCTCTGATTCGAAAAGAAAATAATTTTTTTGTAAATAATCTAATGAATTTTTTTGTGCTTCAAAATGCTTTGAGAGAGACATAAAAATAAGGGATTGCAGAAGGTGAAAGGTCAGGGGCCTGCGTTGTAAATTTGAAAAGGTACAAGCCTCTGATTCGAAAAGAAAATAAATTTTTAAATTTCAGCCCAAGTGGGGCCGACCTAAATGTTAAGAATGAAATTGGACCAAGCCAGGCCGGCCCAGTTCCTGGTTCAACCCAACAACAACCCAACTCTTCCTCATCTCTAAGTAGAGGTAATCCTCCTTCGAGTAAAAGAGTAGAAAGCTCAGAGGGTGTCGATGGAGAGATGAGATGACTTTTGGGGAAGACGACCGTTGTGTAAGGTATGGGTGAGTTTAAATGTTTTGTGACAAAATATTCGTATGCAAGAGGAAGTCTTCAGAGAATAGGCAAGGTACAATCCAAGAAAGTCACAACACTCAATCAACTTTGGAGCAAACTTGTTAAAGGTCTAGGGCTTGCGGAGCTTTGGGTGATACAACACTGTCATCTCATCCTGTTAGGTCTGAGGAAGATTCGAGCTTGATCTTAGGTGTGGAGAAAGAAATGCTTGATGACATCTACCTCAATCGTGGTGTATCGGAACATTTTCGTTCAACAGTGAAGGAAGACTTTGTTGATCCTCTTCCGCTTTCTGATTTTGGTGGGGGAAAAGGACTAAAAATACACAATTGTTGAAGAAGGGGGATGCACCTGTATTGACTGTGGACAAGGACCAGCCGTCGGGCCCTATTCCTGATAATGAGGTGGGAAGTTTAGTGGAAGATCTATTCATGAGTGCAGCATTGCTATCTAATCAGGAGGGGCAGAACTTAGAGGAAAGAAGGATATGTAAGGATAATGGCTAGGTCTCAGAAATCATGGTGGGGAAATTAGGTAGAGATCTTGGTAGGAAGACGCAAGGTCCAAGGAAACTTGGGTCAATGAAACAACATTCCTCCTCTTCAAAATCATTAGTAAACCCAAAGAAGACAGAGCAACAACATTGCACATCTAATTCACAGTACCAAGGCATTTTTTAGACTGAAAGATGGTGGATGTGGGAGAAAGGTGGTGGAAATTAGTCTCTAAGTAAAAAAGTTAGACTTATTGGCGTTAGGATGGGAAGAATACACCAGAAGAGCATTCTGGGAGCTAGAGCTACAATACTTGATGAGTGCTGGAAGGTCTTGATTTGTCTAGGGTTAGTTTAGAGTTTTCTTGTATGGGGAGATTGTTGGGTGGACGTTTCTTGGTGTTTGCTACTCGAGGATTATTTTGCTTTGAAAGCAATCTTCTTGGTTTCTTTCTTGTTTTTTTTTTGAGGATTTCAAGTGATAGCCAACTGCTAGGAAGGTGTACTTGTGCAAAGCTGTTGAGGAGATGGTGTTACATCTATACCTTGGTTGCTCTATCTCAATTCTCTATCGGGGTTGTCTTTGGGCTGGTTCAAACCTAATATGGTGAATACAAGGTTTCTTGGAGACGATCTTGTTCTTTGGCCTACTTTGAAAGGAATTCTTAAGGCAAAGGGGGTCTGGAACTATGTTTCCTTCATATGTTGGAAAGTATGGAATGAAAGAATCAAAGGGATACCTGATTTTGTTCATTGAAGAAGAGATGAACTCACTCTTTTTTTTTGTGAGAAAAGGAGAACAGTTTTGGTTGCTTATATTTCTAGACCTTGAAGGGATTTCAAAGAAGGTCCTTAGTGTTGGATTCTTGGTTTTCATTTGAGGTGGACTTTAAGCAGTTAATCCTGTATTTTTATTTCCTCTTTGATGTATCCCCTTTTGAGTTGTTTTTAGAGTCTAAGACGTGGTGGTTCCTCATCACCCTGATTGATTTACTTTTCCTTTTATTAATAATTTGTTTTTCTATTTTCTTTATTAGCAAAAAGAAATCATTGCTAAGGTGCTTTCTAAAAGAATCAGGTCTCTCCTCCCTTCCATAGTTTCACATACTCTAGGGGCGTTTGTAAAGGGGATAGGTAAACCAACGATCAGATTTTAGTCGCAAAT